CTTTCTGGGGACCCTGCCAAGAAGTAAGTGGCAGACCCCTCCCATTCTTGGCCCAAACACTTATCTCTACTGAGACTTCCTCTTCCCCTCTGGGCTTCAGCTTTTGAAACACAAAACGCAGCTTTTCTACTCTTTGGTCTGCCACATGCATCCCCAGGAGCATTGAACACAGAACCCAGAGCACAGAAAAATAGGAAAATGTAAAAAGGAACAAACTAGAATAACATAGAAATATATTAGATGTTTGGAAAAGACCAAGCTGCCTACTATGTAGGGAAAATACTAGAAGGGCCAAAATGGACAGGTCCAGTGAGAAGGTGGTGATGGAGGGGCGAGATGGGGCCGTGGAGATGGACAGAAGTGGATGGATATCAGAGCTGTTTGGGAGATAAAGATCAACAGAACTAGGTGAGGGATTGGATGGGGGTGGAGGAGGTAAGGAAGGAGGCATCAGAAATGACTCCTGATTCTGCCTTGAGAAATGGGATGGCTTTGTCAGTGAACATGGTGTGCCAACTTCTGGAACACCCTCCTCCACTGTAACCCCTTCACCTGGCCGATTCCTACTCATCCTTCAGAACTCCATTCAAGCATCACTTCTGCAGGGCCAGTCGGATTCCTCGGTTTTATGCTCTCACTTTCCTTTGCATATTTACTGGGTGTGTGATCACACATCCATTCGTATCTTCCCCAGCAGACTGTCAGGTCTGTGAATTGATCTGGGCTCACCCCTGCATCCCCTGTGCCTGGCACATAGCGCTCAGTAAATGAAGGCTCCAAAATGCAGGCAGAGGGGGCTGGTGTGCAACCTGCAGGCTGCTGTTTCTCAAGGGGAATGAAGGTTGCTCGGTTTCAAAATACACAGACTCGGGCTTCCCTGGTGGCGCAGTGGTTGAGAGTCTGCCTGCCGATGCAGGGGACACGGGTTCGTGCCCCGGTCCGGGAAGATCCCACATGCCGCAGAGTGGCTGGGCCCGTGAGCCATGGCCGCTGAGCCTGCGCATCCGGAGCCTGTGTTCTGCAACGGGAGAGGCCACAACGGTGAGAGGCCCGCGTACAGCAAAAAAAAAAAAAAAAAAAAAAAGTTAGCAGGGCCTGTCGGGAGTTCTGGGGCAGAGTAGCAAGTAGGTGAAAGCAGGAGTTGGAGATCTGTGGGTCTGGTGGGGAGCTTGGAGGGGAGGAGGTACAGGTAAGGCCTGGAGGTGGCAGAAATGGTCCCCAGAGGCGTTCTGGACACCGGGGCTAGAGGATGATCACGCGCAGTCTCTGTCTTCTACACGGGGTCCCCATGAGCCTCCCCAACCTGCTCCGAAGAAAATAAATACTCCACACCATCCACTGTTGTGTGGCTGGTTAGTCTGTTGTTTTGTTCACTGGCTGTGTCTAGAAAGGTGCCTGTGTCTAGAAAGGCATGAGGCCCCAAGAATATCTGTTGATTGTTGAGTGAAAGAAGGCAGGAGCAAACGTTCTCAAAGTGTTCCCTGAGTCGGGGGAGGCACAGGGGATTACCACCGCTCCCACGCAGAACAGGCTGCTGTGCTGATTAAACAAGATAATGCATACGAAAGTCTTGGCAGTTTAATAAACTCAGGTTCAAAATCTGGTAAGAGAGAAGTTGGGTTGGGGGTGGGGTGCTATGGAAGGATGCTGGATGGGAGTCACTTGAGGGGGGCCACGGGGACAGCCCCAAGGGAAACCTCGAGGGGTCTTCCGGGAGCCCCGGTGACACCCGCCTGACCGACACCCCTGCCCCACCTGGCAGCGGGCAGGAATTTGCCCTGATGACCTCCCCAGGCGCCCTCCTGTCACCATGGTGACCAATCGCAGAAACAAGCAGGCTGATTGTCCCTGCTCAACGGGGCAGGTGAAACCCTGGCCACGTGACCGATACTGAGCCAGGTGCGGTTAAGGGACACCCGCCACCTCCCTGTCTTAACCCATTCAACGCCGCCGCCACCAGGGTGCAGTGTTCCTGCGGCCGCAGGCCACACCCCCTTGGCTCTCAGTCCCCAGCCAGAAGGGCGGTGACGAAATATTCGGAGCACTGCACTAGGAGTCACACAGCCGGGGAAGGACTTCGGGTTGCGCCACACGGGGGCTGCATGATTGGAGCTGGGTGACTTCACCTCCCAAGTCTCCATTTTCTCAGCAGTAAAATAAGGATGCTAACACCTTCCCAGTTTGGACGGCTGGGAACAGAGATGCGGGAAGTGGAGAGTCGATCACCGAGGTCGAGCGTCCTCATTCTGCGCCCCGTTTCTCCCCCTACATCAACCTCAGCATATCAGGGGCTTGACACCCCCCAAGAAGGAGACCCTCACCAACCACCAGGGAGGCCACTGGCCTGTTCCAGACAAGATGGGCAGGGGTAAACCTTAGGGCCGTCCACCCCTCCCAACACCCCATCACCAGAGTCCTTCCAAGGTAACAACAACCCCTCTCCTGGTCCCACTGCTTATTCCGGAGTGTTAAGTGAAAACCTCAAGCCAACTGGTTTTTCTGCTTGCCAGCCAGCCAGGTCCTGACCGGCCACGTGACACAGCTGGGGCCCAGGACTCAGAAACGTCTCAAGACTGCTTCTGCCCCTAGACCCAGGACTCTGGCTGGGGGCAGATGGTCAAGGGTTGTGGGCCGGGCTCAGGTTACCCAGTTAGACAGTAGGCTGGGGTGGGGATGGGGGCCCACCTGAAACCACCTTTGAAATGCTACTCTTCTGAATCACCACCATGACATCAACCCTCTTCCCCTTTATCCACCAGTTCTAGAAAAACTTCCTACCTGATCTCCTCCAAGGACCCCTCCCAGGCCTTGGACCAACCCCCCTCCAGGGCTCAGATGTTCTCATCATGCCCCTATTGACTATGCTGGCAACAAATGATCACCACCTGGTGTGTTTAGAGTCCCCAGCGATCTCAAAGTCCTCCTCAGATTAGAACGAAACACCTGCCCATCACCAGGCTGGCTCAAGATGGGGGCCACTTCATTAGGCAAGGCATTTATGAGGCCCTGGAGTTAGGATGCACCCTACTGTACTGACTCCATCAGGCTTGTCCTAAGGAGGTGGGGGAGAAGCCAGTGGGTCCCTGGCTAGCCCAGGTGCCATGTCCTGGAGGGGGCACTGACCCAGCTACCAGCTGAGCCTACACCTAAGCCTCAGCTAGTGCTTGAATCTCTCCATAATCATTCAGTAAAATTACTATTGCACTTTGCGCCGGATGAACAAAACATGACCCAGGTCCTTCAGGAGCCCCCAGACTATGGTGGACACATAGGAGTCCAGACTCTGACAAATGTTTTGAGAACATGAGGTGGAAGAGATTAGTTTCAACTGGGAAAAGCTGGGAAGGCTTGAGGAAGAGGTGGCAGTTATCCTGGACCTTAAAAGACATGGAGGACTTGGGCAACTGGCTATCTGGAAAGTGGACACAGCATCCCAGTGGGAAGTGGTGTGGGAAAGGACCTGAAGGGAGGTGTGCAGTATAGTCCTTGGGGGTGCCTGGCACTGCACAGCTTGTGGGATCTTAGTTCCCCGACCAGGGATTGAACTCGGGCCCTCAGCAGTGAGAGGACAGAGTCCTAACCACTGGATCACCAGGAAATTCCCCCTGACCGTTTCTGAGCAGAAGAATGCTGTAGAAAGAGCAGCTACTCTTGCAGCTGCTGAAGGCTGGACTGCTGTGGAAGCCAGCTGAGGCCTGAGACAATGTCGCCACTGCCGCCACTACCCCAGACTGGTCAGAGAAAATGGCAGCCAGTCAGTGCTCCAAAAGGAGGCGACTTCCCTGCACGATGTGCTGAGGGGGGTGGGAAATAAAGGTCTTATTTATTTCTCTGCTGGTAAATGGGGGGCGGGGGTGAGCAGATCTGAACCATTTCAGCTCAGTGCAGCAAATGCCCCCTTTAGTACAAACACCTGGCCTCCCACCTTGACTCGCAGACCAGAGGTTACGTTATACCGCTTGTAAAAGTTATTTGCCTCAGTTTCCTCATCAGTAAAGGGCGGGAGCGGGGGTCGAAGGACGGGTTGGAAATGACCTCTAGAGTCTCTCCTAGCTCTTTCTAGAGTAGACTTCAGGATTAGTAAGAGGTGCTCCGTCCAGCCTGCCTGGGCCGCCAGCTGTAGAGCACGGCGCCTCCAAGCTGACGCCTCGACGACAGGAGCCACTCATGGCGCCCCTCGCCTGCGACCGCCAGCGGCACAGAAAATACAGCATCCGGAGCAGGCCAGGTGCGGGGTCCGCAGCGGGCCCAGGCAGCGCCTCCTCGGCTTGGCAAGGATCTGCCCCGCGGCGAGAGTTCAAGCCCCAAACCCAGCACGTCACGAGCTGCGGGAACGTGATTCCCAAAACTCAGGCTCCGACTCCCCGCAAGAATTCTGCGCGGGGAGGGGCCGGGCGGAGCTTAGCAGGGCGGGGCCAGGGTATTGGTTGGCTCCGCCCAGGGCGTGGCCAGGTGCGGCGCTCTCGCCTGTGGGCGTGGTGCCCACAGGGTTTCGTAGTGACGCAAGGGGCGGAGCCTGGGGGGGACAGTTTTCCGGGATTACGTAAGGAAACGTGAGCGAAGGAGGGGCGCTCCGCGATAGGGGGCGGGTAGAAGGCGGAGCTCCAGTCGGAATTGGGCGGGGCTCCGACCGAGGCGGAGCCGGGGGACACCACGAGGTGCGCGCCGGGAAGGAGATCCGGGAGATGCTCCGCTGGGCCAGCGCCTGGAGACACCCCCATAGGGGCCTCGGCCCCTCCAGTCCCAGCTTCTCCAGAGTGCCTGTCGCACCCAGCAGCAGCCAAGGCGGCACCGAGCCGAGGTCAGTCAAGGGTGTCAGGTGCAAGTTCGTCCTTGGCCCCTCCCCCTCCAGTCCAACCCAGATAGCTCCACTTCCTCCGCTTGGGCCCGCCCTCTCCCAGGGCGCTTCGCCAGCCGGCTCAGACCCTTCCCCTACCCTTGCTCCTCCCGCCAGGCCGGTGCCGCTTTCCTACAGACTTCTGGACGGGGAGGCAACCCGCCCGCCCCTCGTCTTTCTGCATGGGCTCTTCGGCTGCAAAACCAACTTCAACTCCATCGCCAAGGCCCTGGCCCAGCAGACAGGCCGGAGGGTGAGCTTCCGGGAGAGGCGGGGACCCGAGGGAGGTGGGTCCTTGGTGGGCGGGGCCTTAGAGGAGGCCGAGCTTCTCTGTCCTCAGCGCTGGGAGTGGCACGTCCTTCCCGGCAGAAATTAAAGAAGAGATTGACCTTCTAAGGGTGGAGGCCCCAGGGCAGACCCAGGCCCTAGATGAACCCCATTCATTCCCTCGTGCTTTCACCCATCAAGTCCTTCATTCGTGTTACAGGTCTAAGTGCTGCACCCTAACCTAGGCTCTGCTGTCAGATGCCTAAGCACCAATACCCTACCCCCTAAGGGGGCCAGACCCTGCTTGTTCACCAGGGATGACAGGGGGCTTTCCACCTCGTACAGCAGCCCGTCCTGCTGTGCTCCAGCTGTTGCCAATTCTTGGTGTCTGCTTTCTCTGGAGTTGCCACCCAGCTAGGCCATACCTCCAGAGACGTGGTCACACTCCTTGGGCCTTCTGGCACAGTGGCTCCAGGTTCGTCATCTGGGCCTCCAAGGTCTGAGAACTGGGCCTTCTCACCTTTCGGGCCCTTCTTCCCCTTCTGGATCTCCGCACCACCCCAGGCTCTCCACCTCCCTCAGCCTGCAGATCTGCCAGGCTTTTGGCTGTGCCCTGAATGTGGATGCCGGAGCTGCCCGCCTCACCCACTCCCCAGGTGCTGACAGTGGATGCCCGGAACCATGGTGACAGCCCCCACAGCCCAGACATGAGCTACGAGGCCATGAGCCAGGATCTGCAGGACCTCCTGCCCCAGCTGGGCCTAGTGCCCTGCGTCCTCATTGGCCACAGCATGGGAGGCAGGACAGCCATGCTGCTGGCACTTCAGAGGGTGAGCCGTCTCTATCCAGGGCTTCTTCCCATCCACTGTAGACCCTGCGTGCCCAGCAGGCAACCTGTAACTCCAGTGAGCCTTGGATGGCCAAGTTCAGGATCCAGGAACTAGGCCTGAGACCTGCTATGCCTGCCCTAAGGTCCCCAGTCTGATTCTCTCCCACAGCCAGAGCTGGTGGAGCGCTTGATTGCCGTGGACATCAGCCCAGTGGAGAGCCCGTCCAGCTTGAACTTTCCAAACTACGTGGCAGCCATGAGGGCCATAGACATCCCGGATGAGGCGTCCCTCTCTAGTGCCCGAAAACTGGTGGATGAGAAGCTCAGCTGTGTTATCCAGGTAATACACCCAAGCCCCTGTATGGTGTTGTGGGCAAAGGAAGAGTGGCGGCCCCGGGCCTCACAAGGAGTCCCTCCCACCCGCAACTGCTGGACCCCCACAGAGCATAAGTATGCGGCAGTTCCTGCTCACCAACCTGGTGGAGGCGGACGGGCGCTTTGTGTGGAGGGTGAACTTGGATGCCTTGGCCCAGCACTTGGACAAGATCTTGAACTTCCCACCACGACGAGAAACCTACTCTGGGCCATCCCTCTTCCTCCTGGGTGGAAACTCTCAATTCGTGCTGTAAGCCAGGCTGGGTGGTGGGAGGGGCATACCTGACTTATCCAGCCCCCAGCCTGGGGAGGGCTGGGGTGTGGGCAGGGGGTGCCTGAAAACCCAGAAACACCACTAGGCAGGTGGACTCACGTGGCTCTCCACCCCTCCCCCCTTGGCCTCCACTTCTCTCCTTCTCTCTCCATCTTCCTACTTTCACCCCCTCTCGGTGGCCTTCTCTCCGGCGGACAGTCCCAGCCACCACCCTGAGATTAGACGGCTCTTCCCTCGGGCCCAGATGCAGACCGTGCCTAACGCTAGCCACTGGGTCCACAGCGACTGCCCGCAGGACTTCATGGCTGCAGTCCGAGACTTCCTGGCCTAAGAAAGGCCAGAAGGGGACACAAAACCCCAGGCTTCAAGGCCCTGTGGGCTGCTCCTTGTTTCTGCACAGAAGGACTCAGGTGGGCACTGAGAGGGCACAAGGATGCGTCGGGGGTGTGTCAGACCTTAAACTTTAATGAATAAAGTTACTCCTCCCAAGGTCTTGGGCTGAGCTCTCTCACCGCCAACGTCCCCACCATCTCAGGGGGAATCTGACCCAGGGGGTCCTGGCAGTTCCAGGGTCCGTGGGGGCTCCCAGAGCGCCCCTGGACTCTCTCTGCAGCTGACTCTCGACCTGCTGACTCACCATCCACTGCATGTCATCCTGGGGGCAGGAGAGCAGGTTCAGGGGCCAGGCTTGTGCCCGTCTGGCCCTGCCCCCTGGGCCCGGCCGGCAGGTCCACCCTACCTCCCAGGCCTCCACCTCCTGCTTCAGTCTCAGCTTCTCCTCCAGAACTTCCAGCAGCTGGGCCTCCACAGCTCGCAACTTGGCTTTGAATATGTCCAGCTCAGCCTCCACTGCCCGCTTCCTGAGGGGGCAGAGAGAGCAGCCTGGGCGTCAGGGCCTGCAGACCTGGTTCTGGGCCCTGGGGGTGGACAAGTATGGCCACAGCCCCCGACTTGTGACAGAGTGGGTATTTGTGTGGCTTTTCTTCCAGGAATGCCTGATGTCCCCCCTTCCCCTCCTGGCAGGACAGAGCCTGAGGGTGAGCCAGCCACCACCCTCCCATCCCCCACAAGCAGCTTCCTCTCACTTGGCAATGGCTTCATCCCGCTCCCGGAGGACCTGGTCCAGCGAGGGCTCTGTCTGGGTGTCCCCCAGCGCTCCAGCCACTTGGGATTCTGGGCTCTGTGGTAGGGTGACAGAGGAGGGAGTAGTGGTTTGCGGCTTGCCTGGATGAGGTGCCCCACTTGGCTCTTCCGCCCTGGCCTTGGCCCTGAGGCTGATGTCAGGAGGGGAAAGGTCTGAGACGTTCTGTACCTGCCCCCCAGTGCCCCGGTCTCGTGGGCAGGGGACTGCATCATGCTGAGGGGTTAGTAGGTGTGGCCCCTTCCCACCTAAAGGAAAGCAGAGGGGGCAGGGTGTTTGGACCGCCTCCCTCCACCCCACAAGAGGAAAGGAATTCTCACCTGATCCCCAGGAAAGAGACAAGGTGGCTTCAGAAGGACACTTACCCCTCGAGGGCCCCAGACTGAGAGGGTGGCCTGGTGACTGGGACTCTTGTCAGCAGGGTGGGGCAGGCGGAGGACGTGGCCCTTTGCCCTCCCTTCCTGTCAAGGCACTCCCTGTCAGGCTCCGCCCCGGGTAGGCTGACCATGCCCCTGCCTTCACTCCTGGATCCTGGAACCCTCCAGCCAGACCCAGAGTTTCCTCACCCATTCCTTGTCCAGGCATGCGTGCCCCTCACCTCAAGGGGGCGCTCTACTCACATCAGGAGACAAGAAAGGAGTGAGAGCCGGATGACGTCAACGCTGAGAGACAGGTGCCCCAGTCCCCCATGCTGAAGAGTTGGCATCTTGGAAGCTTGAGTGGCATCACCACGCATACAACCATAACCTTAGCTCACCAGAAAACAGAAGGGCAAAAGTTTAACCGTTCCTGGCAAATGCCTCCTAACACATTGAACGGTCCATCCCCCCTAGCAATATCCTCCAGTATTCCCACAATAGTGCTCATTATTCCTCCAGTATTCCCAACATTCTGATCCTGGAGTGTGGGTGGAGGTGCTGTGCTCTGAGGGGGGCGGGCAGGGGAAGTCTCAGGATCTCAGTATCCCACACCCCCCCTCGATGTGACCATTGAGAGCACAAGTAACCTCAAACGTGTAAGAGGGCCTCCCCATTGAGAGGCCTTTGCAACAAGGTTCCATCTTGGGGATTAGACCCTCAACCCCACTCTAAATAGTACATACTTCCTCCAAGACCCCCCAGGAAGCTCCCTGCAGACATGACTCCTGGTTGTCTGGGTCCCACTCAGCCGGGTGCACCTCTAACAGCCAGACTCCAGTTTCTTTGGTTGAACCCAGGCAAAGAGGTGGAATTGAGCTGTACCCCCAAAAACCCCTTTTGTGGAGGAGATTCATTCATTGTGTTTCTGGAGGCTGCTGTATGTCATGATCCAGACAGGACCTCTGCTCTCGGATCTCTGGGGCTAGCAGGGATGAAGCACAGATATAATCAGAAAAGGGTGTCAGGGAGTCCAGGGACAGTGGGAGCGCAAAGGCCCCTCACATCCAGTCACGGGGGTTCCACAGGAGCTTGTCCAATAATGAATCCCGCAGGCCAGCAGGAGTCAGCCAGAAAGGTCTAACACTCAGGCCAGGCATTTCTTTTATCTTAACGTTTTACTTTGAAGCAATTTCAAACTGCTCTTCAATGTCAAAAAATATATATATATATATATATATATCCTTTTAGGGTTAAAAAAACTAATATGGTATCAAACATTGCACCCAGTTGTCACATCTCTCTGGTCTCCCTCAATCTAGAACAATTTGCAGCCTTTCTTTGAATTTTGACCTTGACATGTTTGAAAATTACAGGGAACTTATTTTGTAGATTGTCCTTCAATTTGGGTTTGTCCATTTCTTTCTCACAATTAGACCACTGTTATATATTTTGGGCAGAAATATCACAAAAACGATGCTGTGCTTTTTTTTTGGCCACGCCGCACAGCTTGCGGGATCTTAGTTCCCCGACCAGGGATTGAACCCAGGCCATGGCAGTGAAAGCGCTGAGTCCTAATCACTGGATCGCCAGGGAACTCCTGATGCTGTGTTCTTGTATTCAGTATCATTTGGAACCATGATGCCTGGTGCTGGTAATGTTGATCACTTGATCACAATTAGTAGGTATTGGGGAAGGGAGGTACTTTATGAAACACCCTTTTCTTCATCCCACTTTCACCCATAGGTTTCAGCATCCATTGATGTTTCTTGCCTGAATTAATTATTAATACAATGGTTTGCAAATGGTGATTTTCCAATTTTATCATTTCTTCTACATTTATTAGTTGGCCTTCTATTATAAAAATCTTTTTCTTCACCCGCATTTATTCATTTACTTATTTATCAGATGAACTTGTGATTTCCTATTTTATTCAATAGGTTATAATCCATTCCTATCATTTATTTTGATGCTTAAATTGTCCCAGGATTGGTCAACGGGTGCCCCTTGCTGACCTCTTGTCATTTTGATGTGTCGCATCATTCTTTGGACACGTCCCTTCTTTTCTGGCTCAATAAGATATTCCAGGTTCATCTTGTTTTTCCCTGCCCCAGCCCTACAATTAGCCATTTCAACAAGATTACCTGTTTCTTTTTGCTGGAGAATAATATTTAGAAACCAAGATCTGGGTGTTAGTTGTGCTCAATGCAATTAGGGTAACCTCTACTGCCAGGCCCCCTCAGTAGACACATGTTTATATACACACATAAACATACACATTTATACCTATGTTTGTTCCTTTATCTGTGTGATGGTTAATTTTATACGTCAACCTTACTGAGCTGCTGGATGCCCAGATACCTGGTTAAATATTACCTCTGGGTGTGTCTGTGAGGGTGTTTCCAGAAGAGGTTAGCATTTGACTTGGTGGCTTGGGTAAAGCAGGTGGCCCTCCCCGATGTGGGCGGGCATCATCCAATTCACTGAGGGCCTGAATAGAACAAAAAGGCAGAGCAAGGTTGAATTCTCTCTTTCGGACTGTTGAGCTAGACTTGGTCTTCTCCTGCCCTTGAACTGGTACTTGCACCATTACAGCTCCCTGGCTCTCAGGCCTTCTGTCTGAGTCTGGAACTGCGCCACCCTGCTTTCCAAGTCTCCAGCTTGCAGACAGCAGATTGTGAGACTTCTCAGCCTCCATAATTGCGTGAGTCAATCCCTCATAATAAGTCTCTTTCACTATATTTATCCTATTGGTTCTGGTTCTCCGAAAACCCAAACTAATACAATTTCCATATATTGAAAAATAGTTTCCATTCAGACCTTAAATTCCAATGGCACAGGGTTCATCCTAGCTTTCCCCCTTTCCAGATTTTTACTTCCTTTTCCCCAATTGTCTTCAATATATTTTATAATTTGTTCAGTCTCCCTGTAGGTAGCTAATCCTCTGAGACAACAGGCTGCCCCCGACTTAGATGCCCTCCTTACATGGGGGTGGGTCTGGCAGGGCTGCCTTCCCATCCCACTCCAGTGCCATCTGCATGCATGGTCCTGGCTGCCACTGGGCTATCAAACATTTCTAAGACTTTTATATTCGTTCATTCTACAGATATTTATTGAGCACCTACTATGCTTCAGGCATGTTTCCAAGTGACAGACATAAAACAGGAAGATAGACAAAGTTCCCTGACCACCGGAGCTCACATTCTAGGGAAGGGAGATAGACAATAAACAATAAATAAATGAGTATACCAGATGGTAAGAAGTGCTGTGAAGAAAGAGAAAGCAGGGCAAGAGAATGATAAAAGACTAGGAGATTGCTATTTTATATAATTCTGTACTACCCTAGGGAGATCACAAATATTAACCTACCACTGAGATGAAAGATAACCGTTCTCATGACTTGGAATAATTTTTCCAGCAACAGCATCATTCATGGATTCAAAAAGCTCTGGGTTCCCCTGATGGTTCAGTGATTAAGATTCCACGCTTCCACCTCAGGGGGCACGGGTTCAATCCCTGGTCGGGGAAGTTGCGCATGCCATGCAGTGCAGCCAAAAAAAAAAAGAGTTCTGTATTTCCAAGCACAAGTGAAGATGACACATTCGAGAAAACTGTATTAGGGAACTCAAAGGAGATGCTAGGGATGACACATGACATGACAATGAGAAGCAGAAATACAAGTGAAGGGTTTGAATGAACTTTCACAAACCGTGAGCGTGGAAAAGAATTATTTTGAAATAAAGTTATTTATAAATATATGTGATATTAAAGTATTTCCATTTTAAATGTTTTCACTAAATATTACTAGGGAGCCACTTATTTCATTTGCATCCCTAAATGTTTTAATTAGACTATTGAACCAAATTTCTTTTTTAAAAATCTTCTCATTGGGAAAAGGAGGGCAATGTATTCAGGCATATAGTCAATTCCATCACAAACACCTTAAATATCACACACTGAGCAGTGAGACTCATTCCCCAGCTGCCTACTGCCTGTATCTCCCTCCTCTGCTGCACCCCCGGGATGGCTGAGCCCAGGCCTCAAGACTGAGCTAGAAGATGGTGGGCTGGGGTTAGGGAGTCTGGAAGGGGGAAGGAGAGCTGCCTGCTGGGCAGGGCTGGACTTTGTGGTCAAAACAGCTTGGATTTGCAGGGCTAGGTGGCTTACAAACCATGTCACCCAACCTTCAGTACCTGGTTTGTGTTTACCTCTCTGAGCCTCATCGTCCTCATCTGTGAAATGGAACTAAAGGAGGGCCTTCCTGATAGGGTCACAGTAAGAGTGACCCTTACACAATGGCCAGCACTTTGTACAATAATGGGCCAGGGCCAGACTTCCCAGGGGAGGAGAAAGAGGGAGTAAATCTGCCAGAAAGCAGCAGAAAAGCCACAACAGGAGAACATCAACAATACACACACACACGCACGCACGCACGCACGCACACACACGGACATGCACTCTCCCCAGCCTCGGAGCCTGGGTTGGCTGGCCCTTCCTGCTCTGAGCCCCTCACAACTCTGCCCCGAGGACAGAATTCCTGAATTCTACACAAGCTGCCTCCCCTTCCGCCTCCAGACCCCGAAAGCCCGTATACTTCCACATCATTGTCTTGTCACTGTCAGGGTGTCTCTCACACCAGCCCGGGAGCTTCTGGAGGACAGATACTGACTGTCATCATCCCGACCTGGGCACACAGGTGCTCAGCCGCGAGGGCGTGGGCAAGGCAACACCGGCCTTGCCCAGCAGGTGGCAGCAGTTCCCAATATTAGGGATCCCCACTCCCACCCTCCCAGCTGTTGGGATGGAAACCCCAAACTGTGCTGGGGCGAGGGTGCTCCCAGACGCCCAGCCTTTCCTTCAGTGCTCCTTTATAGGAACACACCTCATTCAAGCATCCAAGTGTTTACAGCTCAGTCTGCAAACACACTTTCTGTGCCAGCCCTGGGGAATCAACAAGGACGTGACCCCGTTCCTTCCCTTTATGTGTCCCCATCTAATGAGGGGACAGACACTTAACACACACTATATGCACACAGGACGATAGTGCTATAGTTGGGATAAATACAGGGCTTTGTGGGACCACGCAGAAGGAGTCCAAAGCTCATTCTTGGGTGGTCAGAGACAAATTCTTGGAGGAGGTGATGTCTAGCAGGGAAGGACTAGAAGTCATTGGCCAGCTGCATGGGGAGGAGGAGAAAAGAGGGAGGAGAGGGCCCCAGGCATGTGCAGGTCAGGCATTAAGGCTGCTCACAGGGTGGGAGGGAAGGCGGCCTCCAAGAAGCGAGGCAGGGCCAGACCACAAAGGACCTGGAAAGCTGTATTGTGGTACCAGCATTTCCCCGCTCCTCAAGGAAAAAAGGAAACCTGAACAAGTAGAGGGGTGCAGAATGCCAATGTTGGGGCACAGTGATGCTCCTTTAACGAGAGTGGGGAGAGGGCTCTACAGAACATTGCTCTGGACTGAATCTCCATCAATTAACCACATTAAAGAATGGGAGTGATGTGTGTTGTGGGGACTGCCTGGTTCCCACAGGGACGAAGCCCTGCTCTCTCACTGTCCATGTCCTTGTTCACAGCTTTGTCCCAGAATGCCCTTCCCCCATTCTCCACCTGGCCACCTCCTACTCATCCTTTAAACCCCAAGTCAAATGCCCCACCTCTGCGAAGTGGTCCCTGATCCCAGGGAGGTGGCTGCTCGGGTACTCATGGCACCTTGTGCAGCAGCTTCTACTTTAGCTCCTGCCATGGTTCTGGCTCCTCTGTCTCTGGCCATCCCTCACCTGTCAGTTTCATCTTCAGCCCTTCACCCTCTTCCATTGACACAGACACACACACACAGACACACACATATGCACACACTTCCCTAGACCGTGGCCCACAACTTCCATTTCCGCCCCAAGTCAGACTCCTCCTGCCTTCCAAGTCTCCAGCCTGTGTGCCACACTAACTCCTCATTGACTGTCTGCCTGTCTCCTGGGGATGTCAGGGCAGAAACCTTAAATAGTACACATCCTGGTCGAACCCCTCCCCCAGGTGCCAGTTCCGTGCTTATCTGCACATGGTCAGTCACAGGGCCTGTGGCTTCTAGTTCATAATATCTGTCACTGTTTTGTTTTGTTTTAAATAAATTTATTTATTTGTTATTTTATTTTTGGCTGCGTTGGGTCTTCATTGCTGCACATGGGCTTTCCTTTTAGTTGCAACGAGCGGGGGCTACTCTTTGTTGCGGTGCACAGGCCTCTCATTGCGGTGGCTTCTCTTGTTGCGGAGCACAGGCTCTAGGCGCGCGGGCTTCAGTAGTTGTGGCACGTGGGCTCAGTAGTTGTGGCTCGCGGGCTCTAGAGCGCAGTCTCAGTAGTTGTGGTACACGGGCTTAGTTGCTCCACGGCATGTGGGATCTTCCCGGACCAGGGCTCGAACCCGCATCCCCTGCATTGGCAGGCGGATTCTTAACCACTGCCACCAGGGAAGCCTCTGTCACTGTTTTAATGTTTTACAACAAACATATTCTTTTCATAATTGAAATAAAGTGTAGTCGTATTAAATAAATCTCTCTCTCTCTCTCTTTTTTTTTCTTGGCCACATGGCTTGCAGGATCTGAGTTCCCTGACCAGGGATCGAACCCGTGCCCCCTGCAGTGGAAGCACAGAGTCCTAACTATAGCTACTGGACCGCCAGGGAATTCCCTTAAATAAATCTCTTGAATGCCTTTGACCCTTCTCTCCAGCCGATGGGTCCTGCTCTTGTTCACACAGTCCCAGTCTCTCTCCTGGACAACGCAGCAGCCTTCCATCTGGCCTCCATGCTGCTATAGATGAGCCTCTTCCCTTGCTTTAAGACCATCTATGGTGGCTTCTTCCAGCCTGGACCTCTCCCACAAATTCCAGATTCCTATGGGCAGTGGCCTACTTGCCCTCCCTGGTGGGATGTCTAATGGGCCACTCAAACTTAAGGGTCCAAACCCCGAATCCTATTACCGCCTGCCACCCACCTGCCACCTGCTCCTTCTCTAGTTTTTCCTCCATCTTTGCAAATGGCAACACCATCTTTCCATGTATTCAGGGCAAAAAACTTGACTCCAGGCATCCTTGATGCCTCTCTTTCTCTCAGTTGGCTCTACCTTTAAAATGTACCAAGGGGAGCTCCCTGGTGGTCCAGTAGTTAGGGCTCGGCGCTTTTACTGCTGTGGCCCAGGTTCAATCCCTGGTTGGGGAGCTAAGATCCTGCAAGCCACATGGCACAGCCATAAAATAAAATAAAATAAAATAAATAATAATAAAATTTATCCGGGATATGACCACTTCTCATCACCACCATTGTATCACCTTTGGCCCAGCTGCCTGCGTGATCACAACAACTTCCTAAATACATCCCTGCTTCCTCCTGTGTCCCCTTCCGTCTGTTCTCCACTCAGCAATCAGAGCAATCCTGCTGAAGCCCAAGATGGATCAGGTACCTTCTCTGTTCAAAACCCTCTGGGGGCTCCCATCACCCTCACAATCAAAGCCAAGGGACACACAGTCAATTCCAACGCCCCTCCCTCGAGTCCTCTGACTTCACCTCCTTGGAGCTCTTCTTCATCCACCACACTCCAGGCACCCTCACCTCCTTGCTGTCTCTCCGATATGCTAGGCACACTCCCTGCTCCTGGTCATTGCACTTGATGTTTCCTCTGCCCAGAATGCTCCTCCTCCAGAGACCTACATGCCTCACTCCCTCACCTCCTTTATTTATTTATTTATTTAGAAAATCTTTTTTTTTTTTAATTTATTTTATTTTTGGCTGCGTTGGGTCTTCATTGCTGTGCGCGGGCTTTCTCTAGTTGCGGCGAGTGGTGGTTACTCTTCAATGCCATGCGCGGGCTTCTCATTGCGGTGGCTTCTCTTGTTGCGGAGCACAGGCTCCAGGCGCGCGGGCTTCAGTAGTTGTGGCATGCGGGCTCTAGAGCGCAGGCTCAGTAGTTGTGGTGCACGGGCTTAGTTGCTCCGTGGCATCTTCCTGGACCAGGGCTCGAACCCATGTCCCCTGCATTGGCAGGTGGATTCTTAACCACTGCACCACCAGGGAAGCCCCCCTCACCTCCTTTATTATTATTATTATTATTTTTTGCGGTACGTGGACCTCTCACTGCTGCGGCCTCTCCCGTTGCGGAGCACAGGCTCCGGACGCGCAGGCTCAGCGGCCATGGCTCACTGGCCCAGCCGCTCCGCGGCATGTGGGATCTTCCTGGACCGGGGCACGAACCCGTGTCCCCTGCATCGGCAGGCGGACTCTCAACCACTGCACCACCAGGGCAGCCCCACCCCCTCACCTCCTTTAAATATGTACTCAAGTGGCACCTTCTCAGCAAGGCCCTCCTTGACCACCTGATTTAAAGCTGGAATCCTGCCTCAAACCCGGCACCCTACTCCCTCTGTCCTGCTTTATCTTCTTCATAATATATTATCACCGTCAGTATGTTATTTGCTTGTTTGTCATCTCTCTCCTCTACTAGAACCCATGGAGGGCAAGGACTTTGGTTTTCTGCCATGTCCCCAACGTCTAGAATAGTCAGCACATAGTAGATGCTTTTTGATTAAGGGAATGAAAGTCGGACCCTTGATTGCCTCCCCCCTTGTCTTCACAATGAAGTTTAACGTTCAAGGTCTCCCTCACTGGACTCGTCTCCCACCCACGCTCATCCCCATACCTGAGCACTGCAGCAGGCTCCTGAGGTTCTCCAGTTGCTCTCCACCCTCACCCCAGCGTCTGGGCACACTCCTTCTGTTTAGAATGCCTGCACCACTGCCTGCTGCAATGCCACTCCTTCAATATCCAGCTTGAATGTCACCGGCTCTGGGAAGCCACCCTGAATCCTTCACATATTGAAACCATGTCTGTCTCTCCCACCACTCTAGGAGCACCTTAAATGCAGAACAGTATCCCCAGAACATGCATTCCCAGGTAATGTTTGATGAATGAATGAATGAATGAGAGTAAGACCTGTATCAGAAAGGCAGTTTAAGTTGAAGGGCACACATTCATTCTCTATTCATTTTTCACGCTACCATTTAATATTCATCTCAATAAGTGATGCTTGGCATGACACCAGGATTCTCTAAGGGCAGCAGCTGTGTCTCCCCTTCCTGCCCTCTCCCCACAGGGCCAGACACTGGGCTCTGGGGCTGCACCCATGACTCAGCCCACTGAGTCACCCTGCACAGAGGAAAGTACTCTGAACCAGGAATCAGCAGCTTCCCTGCCACCTGTTCCCTGTAACCCTGGGCAAGTCCCTCTAGCAGGTGAGTTCTGGTCTCGCATCTGTCAAATGGGGCACCACCAACACTTGCTCTGTGGGACACTCAAGGTTGAGGTCTGGACAAGTGGAAGGGGTGTGGCTGCCTCTCATGCTAGGCTACATCTGAGCTAGTCTTGGACCAGACTTTCCTGGGAAGGAGGGATGGCTGGAACAGTGTCTCCAGCCTGTCTGCCAGCCAGCTAACCTGTGCCCACAGTCTCGGAGAAGTGCTGGGCCTGGACATACTGGTCAGCAGGGGGCTGGCCCAGCTCCAGAGCAACACCTTGGCAGCCCTGGGGAAGGGAAGGGGGAGTGCTTGGCTTGAGGTCAGAGCATCTGGGCCAGGGCACAGAGGGGGCAGCTGGGGGTGTGTGTGTGTGGCTGCCACTCAACAAGATGCTGGCAGGGACCAGAAAAGAAGCATCGCTACTGACTAGCCCCCAGCCACCACCCTCCACAGTATTGAGAAGACCTTCCCATTAGTCCGGAGGGGCTCGGCCCCTGCTTAGCTACTCCCAGCTTCTAGCTAGGAAGTAGGATCTCAGGCCCGGGGCTGGGATGCAGGACTGGGAATACAGGGAAAGGGGAAAGAGATGGGGCGATAACTTAGATCACCCTCCCCCAAAATAGAGGGGTGCCTGCATCTTGCTGGGAGTGGAAACTAAAGGAAAAGTGGTGGTCACTCAGCATCAGACTGTGAACTGAGGAATCCTGGGGAAAGAAGGGGCCAGAGCCTGAGTCTGGATGAGACGCTGGGAGAAGGCAGGAAGGGTAGGGGCTCAAAGGCTGGAACTCTAGAGGGTTTTGGCTCGAGGAGGCTTTTGGAGGGGGATGCTGGAGGTCCCAAGGCAATAAAATTAAGGAGGGAGGTGGGGTCTAACCTCTAGCAAATCCCCGGGGATATGAGGGGCCTTGGGGGTGAAGAGCCAGGGTCCAGAAGGAGGGAGGCTGAGCGGCTGAGTCGAGGGATGGGAGGAGGGAGGACGCAGTTGGGACGGGAGGGAGCAGAGACTCTGGGAACCGACCCCAGGCAGGGATCAGGCGGGCGTCGAGAACGCAGGGGGATGAGGTCCCTGGGCTGTGACCCTTCGGAGGACCTGATTGGCTGTGGGGGAGGGTGGGCAGTGGGAGCGGGAAGCCAGAGTCCCAGAATTGGGCTCTAGGCTGGGACCCGCCAGGGCGGGGCGGGCGAGGGGCGGGGCCGGGCTGGGGGCTGGGGGCTGGGCCGGGGTCCCGGGGGCCGGGGCGGGGCCGGGCTGGCGCTGCGCAGCCGCGGGGCGGCCGCCGCGCATGCGGGGCTCACAGGGCTGCAGCCGGTGCCGCTGCCACTCCCGGGAGCATGAAGGACCGAACACAGGAGCTCCGAACGGTGAGTCCGGCCCCTGCGCGGCGCCCCTCGCCGCCCGTGCCCAGCGGCCGGGCAGCTCCCCGACCACCTCTGGCGACCTCTGGGGCGGTAGTCCCTGCGTCCCTGGCCAGGGTAGGAGGGAGCAGTGCCGAGCCGGGGACCCCCATCCGGGTCCCGCCCCTTGGACCCACTGGGGTCACGGGCTCGCGTGAGCTCGGCTCCGATGGTTCGCGGACTAACGACTGGAGCCCGGGGTCCTGGATAAACTTTTCGGCGCCCCCTTCTTTTCGGGGGTCGAAGGGGTATTCTGGAATATCGGTGGCGGGACCGAAGCCTGGCCTCTCGCTCGCCCCGCGGAGCAGGTCCCGACTCTCTCTCCCCACGGTGCCTCATCACTGACCCTTCTGCCCTCCCTCTGGCTTAGACAGACGGCGGGACCGGTGGGAAGGGGCCGCGGGCGGTCCGCTGTCCAGAGCCCCGCTGCAGGGCGCGCTGCGGAAACGGGGCGGTCGGGTGTGGCCGGGCTCCTCCGTTGGGCGCTGTCTCGCGGGGCGACTGCCGCCCCCATCACCTTCCATCACCTGTAGCTCCCGTCACCTGTGGCTCCCCACCCGGTGGCGATCGGCATCTGCTGCCCGCCCTGGTCCGGGAGGGGTCAGACCCGCTCCCGGTCCACATTCCTGGCTTCCGGGCAGCCCGGGCCGGCGTTTCCAGACCCTTCCGGGGTTCCCTGGTCGGATTCCTACCTGAACCTATTTTTCCACCTGTGTTTCGGGGGCCCCTGGGGTGTGGCTTCTGGGGCGGGGTTCCGGTGGGGGAAGTAGAAGGATGCGCAAAGGTTCTGAGTCGGAGCCCGCCCTCTCCCAGCCCTGACAGAGACCCCTGCCGCCTGCTCCTCCTCGTCAAGGCCCCCTTCCCCTGGCCTCTGCTATTAACCAGGGTGTTCGCACCTCTCCCTTTAAAGATGGCAATCTTGGGGTGGGGGGGCTGGGGGGGACAGAGAAGGAAGGGAAGCCTGCCTGTGGGGAGAGGGGCATCAGGGCTCTAGACCCAGTTGAGGCTCCTCTGATGCCGCGGCTGACCCCCGTACTGGCAGGCCCCCACCTGCTGATCTCTGTGGTGAGGGCGGGGCTAGCTCAGTGTCTCCCCAGAACACTTCCTGTGCTATCCACCTTAGAGCCAGAGACCTGGGTCCCCTTATATGGAAAGTTCCAAGGGTCCTTTGGACTTTTGATCCCATGGCTTGTCCTCTCTGCCCATAGGTTCCCTGCATTTGTGCCTGGGTCTCCCACCCGTTGTACCAGTCTTGTCTCCTGGGCAGCATGGGGCTGGAACCTGTGCTCTCCTGCCTCCGTGTCCCCCTTGCTCTGGCTGCCAGCCCCCACTCTCCCATCAGACCT